GGTTACCTGTAGGCAGTGATAAACGTCCTGACTGCCCAATAGGCTTCTTCTGATGCCAGCACAACATAGAAGTGGAGGCGATCTCGTTACTGTGCTGGAGGCGCAAGTTTAGGCTCCTGTCACCTCACTGAAGAGAATCCACCCTCCTGATGCGCAGCAGAGCCAACCACTTAACATCGAGTTTGCAAATGAAGAAATTGGAGCCGTTTATCTGCATGCAGGGCGCCAAGCAGGAGAACGTGAAGCTATCTATTGCTATCTGTCGCTTAGAACCAAGGTTCCCAGATGGCTTTTAATCAAGGGTTTTTAATGGCAAAGATTGAGGGTTAGGGGTCGGGCGCGAAGCTGATTGGTTAGCTGTTGCGCAAGCTTCCGCGGTTTTCTTTAGTCTGGTTAATATAGTCCCTGACGTCATCTTGTCTGGAGCCTTCGTAACTGTGGTCAGGTGATCTAATTGGGATTCTGCAAAACATCTCATGATTGCTCATCAGTGATGTTATTTTTACAGCAAAAGGCAGAACCTAAACATCGTGTGACCTTTGTTATTATTTAAACTATCTTTGTATGCTTAACTAGCCACATTTTTCTGTTATCTCAAAGTGTACCTTTAAACATTTTTCCTAGAATTTGCTTTACAAGCAGGCGTCCGGGACATGACTAGCATTCTTAATCTTTGACTATAAGCTATGTGACAACCAAAGCAATTGAAATATTTAATTACAGCCTATACCTACGTCTCTAGACTATGATCTATAGTACCTAAACATGTTTACTGTTAAGCTACGTGTCACTCTGCACATGATCTCCAATGACACTGCAGGGGCCTAGTGGGGATCAAAGCCCGGGCTTCCCCACCAGGCTCTCTGACGCACCCAGCAGGGGTAGGTAGGGCACCTGGTTTGTGCTTGGCCAAGGTGGAAGTCTAGGCTCTCCACGGGGGCCTTTGCTGGTGGGAAAGGGAACATAGTTTTTTTCTGTGGTGTTTGACCGAAAGTTTTCTGTCTTGCTAGGCTGCCATTTTCCTAGTTCTTTGGATAGAGAAGAAGGCTTTTGTGGGCTTTTTGTTGGTTTGTTTTACACCTGTTAATGTTTCCAGGATGGTGGCTTCATGAACATCCACTTTGGAATATATGAAGTCTCTAGCCAGTCTGCTGCCTTCTCTCTAACTTGTACAGTCTTCTTGTGACTGATTTCTATAGAATGCCTAGAGTTTTTAGCTGTACTTAATTGGAAGAATAAGGAAACGTGTTTACCCAATCTTTTTTCTTCTGTGAAATGCGTTGTCCCATATTGACAGATTTTAATTACTAATCCTTTGTCACAATCATGTGTTGGATAGATCTTTCAATTTGGGGCTTATCTTCTCACTTTCTTCATAGAAATCTTTTGACTAGCTGTAGTTTTTAACTATTGGGTCGTCGGGAAAGCCATGACGTATTTTTCTATGTTTTTCAATGCAAAAATGCGTCATGACTTTGCCTACGACCCAATACAATGAAGTTGAATTCATTCATCTTTCCCTTATGCTCTTCTTTTTTGTTTCTTGCTTAAGAAATTTATACCTGCGCTGAGGTTACACAGATATTCGCCTTTATTTCTTTGTGAAAGTTTTAAAGTTCTTAATCTATCCAAAAGAATTATTTTTTGAATTGAGTAAAGTAGGAATCTGATTTCATTTCCTTCCCGCTACAGAGAACTATAATACCATGAAAAATTGATCTTTTTTCCTACTGATTTCTAGTACCACATCTGTCATATACAAAATGTACATATGTGAGCCTGTTTCTGGTATATATCTTCTGTTCTACTTTTGTTTATCCTTAGATAAATATACCATCTTAATTGCTGTAGCTTTACAGTAAGTCTTGTTACTTGGTAGGCATGTCCTCCAGCTTATCAAAATTCTATTGAAATTAAAACTACATTGAGTCTATAGATTTGTTTGGGGAGACTTGCCATCTTCACCATCATGAACGTGGTTTTTTCATTGCTGAGGTATTTTTTAAGGTTTCTAAAGATTGACATTTTTCTCCACATAGCCTTATACGTTTAAAAAAATTTATTCCTAAATATTAATATATTTTTGTTTTTATTGTAAAATTGATTGTTTTTAGATTTAAAAAAGTGTTTATTGCTTGTATGTACAAATGAAATTGACCTTTGGATTAGTTTGTGTCCATTCTTAATGCATTTCATTTTACAAAAATATATCTGAGAACCTTATTGCAGTCTCCTTGGAACAAATGACAGCATGAAATTTATAGTAGATTTTTTAAATGTAATTAAAAATTTAGATTTTTAACTCATAATTATTTATTGTTTTACCAAGCACTGTGAAAGATGATTCTTCTTTTTTCCCCTAAGAAACATTATTTGCCCTTGTTAAAAGGAAACAAATAGTGTTCCTTTATCTTCCATGGAGATGTTAAACGAAACAAGTATGTCTACATTTCACTTTGAGAAATCCTGATTCTATAGGCCCAGAGAGAACCAGAACTCTTTGTTCTTTTAGGAAGTTCCGTGTGGTTCTGCACATCCGTATTTGAAAACCGCTGTTGGAGAAGTTTCAAAACAATAAAAAGAGTAGTCCACGGGGTTGTTTATTTGGAGGGGCAGCAGCTCATTTAAAATTATGAGGATTTATTCATTTAATGTACTAGGTGTGGAGTTTGTACACACATATATAACCCATATATGTACATAAACGGAATTGCTTTGTATTAAGGAACAGCAGGTACAAATTTGAAGAGAGTGAACACTGTAAAAGAACCTACTCACAGTTTAGATGTGAGATGTTGGTTTAGTGCTCGGTATATTTGTATTAAAACTTAAAATGCGAGCTCATGGATGGAGAGAATTGATTGGTGTTTTCTTGAGCAGGGGGCTAAGGGTGAAAGGAATGGGTGAAGAGTTTCAAAAGGTAGAAATTTCCAGTTATAAAATGAATAGGTCATGGGAATGTAATGTACAGTATGGTGACTATGGTTAATAATACTGTATTGCATATTTGAAAGTCGCTAGGAGAGTGGATCCTGGAAGTTCTCACCACAAGAAAAATATTTTTGTCTCTGTCTATGGTGATATTAACTGAGCTTATTGTGATTATTTTGCAATGTGGACAGATATCAAGTCATATTATACACCTGAAAGTAATGTTATGTCAATTATACCTCAATTTTGAAAAGAACTTAGAATGCAATTTTGTTTTTTCCAGTTGGAGTCATTCGTTGTCCAGTTTGCAGCCAGGAATGTGCAGAGAGACACATCATAGATAATTTTTTTGTGAAAGACACTACTGAGGTTCCCAGCAGTACAGTAGAAAAGTCTAATCAGGTAAGTGTATTAAGTCTTGAATCTTTTTCCTCCTTTTAATGAGGCAGCCGAAAATGCTGGAGGACTCAAAAATAAAAGGTATCTATGGCATTGTCATATTTTAAAGGTATATAGGTATGTAAAGAACAATGAGTAATTCATCTTCAGGAATAAAATAGTGCCATATAGAAGCCCTGATCAGACTCCCACCTTCCCTGTCCTCTCAGGGAAAACCATTGTATATTTCACATTTTATTTCTTTGTTAAGTTTACTCTGTATTGACAATTAGATTTTGTATTTCAAGCCCCCGTTTTTAAATTTTTTTTCTTTTTTAATGATAAACTGTATACTGGTACATATGAAAACTTCCATGCCTTTGATTAGTACGGTTTCTACATTTTAAAAAGGTCTTCTTCTCTACATGGTATTTCTTTGAAAGCCCATTTTGGTAGCATTGCCCAAGGTGTTGCAATTAGAGATCCAGTGGTGCTTTTCTTTGCTCCCTACTTCATAGTCCACATGTAGCACGTTTCTGTTGGTCCCTTAAATCTAAATGTCAGGTCCCTAGTGGATAAACTCCAGTGGAGGTGCGCTAATGAGCTATGCTTAATTCTACAGTATGTGCTAAGTGTAGTGTATGTCTGCTTTTGGATCATGATTCATTGATGTCGTCTCTAGGTAGTTCCTTTAATTTGGAACAGAAGATGTGTGAAGGAACTGAATCTGATTATGGAAACACGATTATTAATCGAAGATGTAAAACTCTAAAAAGTAATGAGTATTATATAGGACTCTTCCGTAATCACACAGCTCAGTGCCTGTACTTTTCATTTGCAGCTTGTTTTTCTTGGGGCTATAGGAATAGAGGGTTCACTTTCAATGAACAGCCACTAACTAAAATATGTCTNTATTTCTGTATGCTCTAGTCTGTTCCTTTTATCTATGTGTCTTGTCTATCCTGCCAATACCACCCTGTCTTAATGACTAGCTCTATATAAGTCTTAAAATTGGAGAGTGATTCTTGAAATTGAAATGGAAAAATTGTTTTTCATTTTCAAAATTGCTTTAGCTCTTCTAGTGCCTTTCCTTTTCCATAAATCTTGGAATAATCTTGTATCTACATAAAATCCTGTTTAGGATTTTGATAGGAATACATTAGCCTATAGATCAATTTGGAGAGAATTGACATTTTTACTGCAATGAATCTTCCAGTCCTTGAATGCAGTGTATCGCTCCTCAGCATTTTGTACTTGTCAGCATAAATATGTTTTTACAACTCTTAAAAATCAGGTGGCCCTACTTGTGTGGGTCTATTTCAGGTCTGTTTGATTTATCTACTCATATGTGTCTACCTGTTTGTCAATAACACACATTCATGATTACAGTAGCTATACAATAAGTCTTAAAATTGGATAGAGCGATTTCTTTATTCTTTTTAATATTGATTTAGTTATTGTGCATTTGCCTTTCTGTATAAATCTTAAAACAATGTCTAAATTTACCAAAAAAAATGTTGCTGGGGTTATATTAGGAATTGTGTTAAACCTGTAGATCACATTAAGGAGAGTTGACATCTTGACTACATTGGTTATCCCTACCCATGAACACTCTGCCTCTCCATTTATTTAGATCTTCTTTGATGTCTTTCACCAGCATTTTGTAGTTTTCAGCATACAAGTCCTATACATGTTTTGTTAAATTTACACTTAAGTATTTCATTTTGTTTAGAGCCAATTTCCGTATACTTATAGGGCTTTTCAATTTATATCATATTGGGTAAATCATGGTACTTTGTGCTTTTTGAGGAATTGGCTCATTTAACTTAACGTTGTCCCACTTATCTGAGTTGTGCTCTTCGTATTCTTGATCCCTTTTGTGTTTCCATGGTCTGTAGTGATACCCCTTTTTCATTCCTTGTGTTTGGTAAGTTGTGTCTTCTCCTTTGTC